CCGACATCCTATCTGTTAAATATAAATTAACCACACAGATCTCCACCGCCACCCCCTCGTGCCTCTCCCCCCACCAGCTCAGTCAAAAGAGGGGGGAAGGGGAGGGAGTAGAAAAGCGACAGGCTTTTGACACCGTTTCAGCGAGCCTGCCTGGGCCCCCACGAAAAGAAAGCCCGAGTCCTGTAAAGAAACTTGTCTAGAATGGTGATCTTCAGGCAGCTCTTGTGTGACAAGATACATAGTTTCTATTGTGCTGGGGCCAGATTATTGGTTACTATAGTTTCCCTAATGTTCAAATGGAGTTAAGACCTAAGCTGAACAGAATAGGTTAAAAGGTGCCGGTATTTGGGCCTGCAAAACCACATGTTGAGAGTCAGAGACCAAACAAGACAAAGCACATATCTCTCTGGTCTTTGAAGTCTTCTCTTAGGGATGCAAAGTTTTTTTAAAAAGGGGGGGGAGGGGGGAGAGAATGAGAGAGGAAAGAGACACCACACAATCCCTGGGTCCAGAATTTTCAACTAGGCCCACAACAATACTTTCGTTGTAGGTAGCAGAAATTGCAACGGGGTCATCTGTGTCCCCCCAAATCATATCTTTCCCAGGGGCCAAAAAATAAGGAGCATTTCTTCTTCTCTTTATAAAAGGGTGTTGGATTTGTTGGGTTATTGCTAGTTAGCCCATTCCCTGATACAAAGAGTCGGGTCCTGGAAAGACCTATGTTTTAATTTGCTGTATTTGTTTGTTGGTTTATTTCCCTCAAATCCCCCCCTTCCCCCCCATTGTCTTTGCGTTGACGTTCCTCACTGAAAAGCATCTCAAGACATTTCTGAAAACAGCTTTCCATTTCTCTGCTCACCACCATTTCAACTGTGAATCCACCACCCGGCTGTAGTGCCGGCTTCTTGCCAAATAATCCGCCCTTTCTGGCATTTCAAGTTTGTGAAAATATGGAAACTTCCATGAATCCATAGGCAGGGGGAAAGAAAGAATTGTGCGTAAGCTCTCCCTTCTTGGTGCAAGCAAAGCTGTTGCATTGTTCATCTGACGGATTAAAATACTCCCCTTCTGCTCATGAAGAAGATTCTTGACGATCATGTTTTAAGAAACCTAAATTTGGGGCATTTCAACTTTGATTTCTTTATTATCATTAAAATTCTTGCAAAAGACAACCTTCACTCATATTTGTGGATTGCTGGCCACTGCAGTCTTTATTCTTTGAAAAAATATATAATGTGGCAAAAGATGTTTCCTGGTTTTCATTTTAAAATAATGATGATGACTCAGCAGCAAAGAAAGGGATCCCTGAATTCAAAAAGGGTCTTTTCTTTCTCTCTCTCTTTCCCTTCAAAGCAGAAGTTATTGTCATTCTGATCGCCGTTATCTCTTTATGCTGTTCTAGAAAATATATCTAATTGTAACAACTGTACTCCTAGAGTGAACATATTACTTGAATTCAAATGTTAACAATGGCAATAGGATAACTGTCCTTGAATCGCAGCCTTTTGTATGACTTCAATAGGCTTACAATGTGTTGTATTAGCAGGCATATTAATGGCCAGATGCAACACCAGCTCTTTTCTTTTTCGCCAAATCTTCTTATGCAAATACCTCATGAATCCAGTTCAAAGAGGTAGCTTTAAAATGAGCTTCTGCCTGCCTGCATTCAGATGGATCCTTTCACCCTCAGCAATGGGGGCGACTTGGATCGAAAGTGACATGAGAAAAGTTTCGACACTTGTTTTTATAACTGAACATGATCTTGTTATCATAATCTGATACTGGTAACGGGCATGGGCTGGTTGTCGAATTTTAAGCCTTTAACAGAAGGAGATAATCTCAGCTTTTGTGCTCGAATGTACTGAATCCTACACTCGGTGGAAGCTATCAATGAGAATCGAGGGTCATGCTTTTCTCAAACAAAACTTTTTCATGCTTAAAAAAAAAAAAAAGAATGAGAGTGGGGGGACTCTTTATTCTGTGAGAATTACCCAAGCAATTGCATTCAGGCCTGGGACATCAACAAGCTCCCATGGAGTGTAAATTAATAAAATGAGGAGGGGGGGTAGTTTACCTTCTTTTACAAATGATGAAATCAACAGCTTTGACTTGCTTGTTGAACTATATGGTAATGAGGCAGTAATTAAAAATGCTAATGGGCAACAGTTACTTAAACACAGCTTCAGTATGTGCCTCTGTTCCCTTTGTTTTGCTAGGGTTCTCCCAACTGTCCTATTGAAATTGGCTCTTGAAAATGCTACTTTTAATGGTTTAATTATCAGGGAAAGGAAAACAGGAGAGTTTTACAGTTGGCTGTCTTGTTAAATATTGCACAGGTTTTGTTCTTCTGCGCAGATTTTCATCTGCTGTCATGTGAAAATGCAGTTATAAAAATCTTTGCACATGCAAATTTCATGAGTTTCAAGTTATTTCTAATTTGTAGCCCTTTTGTTTGTTTCAGATTGGCAGGAGAGGAGGCGAGTGGGAAGTCTGATACTTGATGATTATGGGAATGGCTTCTTTTAGAATGCAAGCATGACCCCAAATAGTAACTTTTATTAGGATTGATAACTTTTATTAGGAGATGCTTACAAGGCAGATTTTTGATGGCAATAATAAAGTGGAAAAGAGGTTTCGGAGTCAGGCCATAAATTTAAACTTCACTTCTCAGCAGATAATTTCAGCTTTGAGATAGAGAAGTTAGAATACAACAACAACAACAACAACAACAACAACAACAACAACAACTTATACCCTACCCATCTGACTGGGTTGCCCCAGCCACTCTGGGCAGCTTCCAACAGAATATAAAAATCTAGAAAATCACAACAAAAACTAGAAACACTTGTTGTCATCTTCTTCTCTCTCAACATAACCTCTTTCAATGTCTAACCTGGGGGTAGCCAATTTGGTAACCTCTAGATGTTGGACTTCAACTCCCATCAGCTAAAGAAAGCAGTGCCATTGGTCAGAGTTGATGTGAACTGCAAAACAACTTCTGGAAGTCATCATATTGGGGGTTACCGTTGGCCTAGTCTAATATTGCAGGAAGACTGGAATGAGTGATAAGGAAGAGAGGTAATGCTTTGAGAATGTTGGATGGAGAATGAAGGATTGGGAAGAAAGGGTCTACTATACTCTGAAAAGTTTTGGTGGAATATGGAAAAGATCGATTCCTCTCCAGCACAATATGTCAGTCAACTCAACCAACATGGATTCTTCAATCCACTCCAGGCAAGCAGAGAGAAGTGTGCTGCAGTCTTGATTTAAAGTTTTACCCCAGTGGTGACTGGTGCCCATTGAGACTGGTAGGATGGAAGGCAGGGAGGTCAACAGTAGGTTGGAACCAAAGCCAATGACTGATGGAGATGGAGTCAATTGGAGGCAGAGCCAGTGAAGTCTAGTTTTATTCCCATCCTCCCCCCCACTGAGTTCTACAAGTCTCTGAGAGTAAGGAGGAGGAAGCTGACAGGTGCTGCCCTGTTCTGTGGTGTGGCAAAGCTCAACCAGGACAAGGTGAGCTTCAGGGTGGATGCAAGGCAGGGTGCAGAGCTGTGCTTGGTGAAATGCAGAGCTCTGAAGTTACTCCATCAAGTAACAAGCTGAAACTGAGGCCTTTTAAAAAATATATACAGAGCTATGCACATTAATGGAATGATGATGATGATGATGTCATAGCAACTGGTGCAGTGCTGCAAGATGCTACTTGTTAAAGGGGCCCAGCCTTCTCAAGTAATTTCCCACCGTGATGGAGCAGGAGAGACTCAGGTATTCCAGGGTCTTATACAGCAAAGTCCTCAGAGACAGAGGATGGCAGTGCCACATCATTGAGATGGGAGTGGGGAAAGGCCCAGCATCTATAGGTTCATCTAGTAGCAGCACCTCTCTGACTGGACCTGCTTGCACTTTCCCTTCAGGTTCTGAGTTCTTATCTTGTATCAGCTGATGAAGAAGAATCTGACTCCTGGCCCCGGGCCCTGAGAGGCATGATTTACAAGGGGGCACACATGCACACACAAAGCCAGCTCCTCCAGTGGTGAGGGTGGCCAAAAACTGCATACACCCATACACAGAAAGTTCAGATTGCAAGGATGACCAGAAAGGAAATGTCTTAAGAAACAAACAGGTGCAGTGCAATTCAGTGCATGCTTACTCAGAATTAAGTTGCACTGTGTCAAATTGGATTTGCTCACAGGTAAGTTTGTCTGGGGGACGTGGGTGGTGCTGTGGGTTAAACCACAAAGCCTAGGACTTGCCGATCAGAAGGTCAGCGGTTCGAATCCCCGCAATGGGGTGAGCTCCCATTGCTCGCTCCCTGCTCCTTCCAACCTAGCAGTTCGAAAGCACCCCAAAAAGTGCAAGTAGATAAATAGGTACCGCTCTGGCGGGAAGGTAAACGGCGTTTCTGTGCACTGCTCTGGTTCGCCAGAAGTGGCTTAGTCATGCTGGCCACATGACCCGGAAGCTGTGCATCGGCTCCCTTGGCCAATAAAGCGAGATGAGCGCCACAACCCCAGAGTCAGACACGACTGGACCTAATGGTCAGGGGTCCCTTTAACTTTACCTTAAGTTTGTCTGGGACTGCGGCTGGCCAAAGCCAGCTAGTATAGTCTTACTTGAGATTAAGCCCAATTGAACAAAATGGGACTTACTTTTAAATAAGCATGTGCAGAATGTGTTGTTCTGTATACCAACAAATGTGAATTGATGTTCATAGGAAGCTGCCTTAAGCTGACTCAGACCAATGGGCCCATCGAGTTTTTTGTAGATTAAACTGCAGGGCCAGCCCAAGACATGTTGGTACCTGAGGTGAACCACAAATTGGCATTTTCCCACCCCACCAAGAAAGAAGGGATGAGTGAAGATGTACATCAGGAACAAGGGGGTTGGGAATAAAGATCTACATCAGGTTCTACTGTCCTGTGGGTCCTGCCACCTGAAGTGGTGACCTCACCTTGTCTCCTGGGTGGGCTGGCACAGAAAGAAATCTCTCCCAGTCCTACCCCAAGATGCCAGGGATTGAACCTGGGACCTTCTGCATGCAAACCAGATGTTCTACCTCTGAGCCGCATCCAGGTTTGGTCCTGCAAACCTGTCTGTGTAACCTGCTTTTGATTCAGCCTTTCTGCTATTTGGCTATCTTTTCCTGGGGGGTTGGGGTGCACCTTAAAACTATTATCTGGAAAAGCAGAATGGCATCAGCTTACCATTTAATTTTGTAGATATGGCAAATGGAATGTCTAGAGATACTGTAGACCACTGGGCTGATTTTCAGACCGAGTTGGAAACTTAATTAAAATAGCCTTAATCCTGAGAATGATGTCATTTTTTTGGACTGATCAGACTAATGCTGAAGAAAAGAGAAATCCTTATTTTTAATATCAACAGGTTAACAACGTATTTCATGGCCATCTCTTTTCCCATGTTTGGCAGGGAAGATTTCTTCCATCTTTGGGGGAAGGTTTCTTTATTACCACCAAGATGGAACTGTGTGGTGTCAGCGTAACAGGAAGTGCTTCACAATTATTATTGTGGAAAAACAATATCTCATCATTACCCCATTCCGAAGCCTTGGGTTGAATTAAGTGAAGTCATATTCTAAGGGGATCCATTGAAATCCATAGGCTTAAGTTAGTAAAGTCTGTTGATGTCAGTGGATAACAACAACAACAACAACAACATATTATTTATACCCCACCCATCTGGCTGGGTTTCCCCAGCCACGCTGGGCGGCTTCCCAAAAAAGTATTAAAATACAATAGTCTGTCATACATTAAAAGCTTTCCTAAACAGGACTGCCTTCAGATGTCTTCTAAAAGTCTGGTAGTTGTTTTTTTCTTTGACATCTGGTGGGAGGGCGTTGCACAGGGTGGGTGCCACTACTGAGAAGGCCCTCTGCCTAATTCCCTGTAACTTGGCTTCTCACAGCGAGGGAACCGCCAGAAGGCCCTCGGCACTGGACCTCAGTGTCCGGGCAGAACGATGGGGGTGGAGACACTCCTTCAAGTATACTGGACCGAGGCCATTTAGGGATCTATTCCATGTAGAAGAAGAAAAAGAAGAGGAGGAGGAGGAGGAGTTTGGATTTGATATCCCGCTTTATCTACCAGAAGGAGTCTCAAAGTGGCTAACAATCTCTTTTCCCTTCCTCTCCCACAACAAACACTCTGTGAGATGAGTGGGGCTGAGAGATTTCAGAGAAGTGTGACTAGCCCAAGGTCACCCAGCAGCTGCATGTGGAGGAGCGGGGAATCAAACCCAGTTCACCAGATTACGAGTCTACCACTCTTAACCAGTACACCACACTACATAACACTTTTCCAGAAAAAAAATCATTTTCCATCTCCCTCAACCCAGAAAACTGCAGGAGTAAAATGCCAAAATTTGGGGCAGTATTCTGACATATAGCTCTTTCCTGCTGTTTTCATGGGGAAATCTTGGGGGAACAGAAGCATGCGTGGAAAGGGTAGAGAAGGAGTGAGTTTGTCCAATGATGTTCATTGTGGTGGCATACCATGCCTGCTGTTGTGAATGCAATTTAATGTGACATTCCAGTATATTGGTCAAATTGCCACAGTGCCATAGCACAACAGGTAATGCAGTGTAAAAGGAATATTAGAAAACTGGGCAGAAGGGCTAGCATTATAACTAGGAACACTAACAACATTCCCCTTGTCTGAATGCACCCTTAGTCAGCAACAATGCATTTTTCCCAACTAAGCACAGAATGCTGAACTAAATGGACTTTGGGTCTGATCCAATAAACCAACTCATCATTATTTTTTTTAGCACTGTTTCACAGGGGAATGTGCATCACGTATCCAACAGTCCTTCAGTCTGAGGCTCACTAAGCTTCCTCTTTCCCTTCTATCTTTGTGCAGCTTACTTAATACGTTGCTAGTTGATTTATTCACACCATAGTTTACTGTTACATCTGAACTGGTAAGCTTTGATTTGAGTGAGCTTCCCTACCCCAAACTAAATGATGGCATGCAATCCTGGTTTGAAGAACTCAGTCCAGCCACAATTTGTTGGTTTAGATGCAAACACAAACGATGGGTTGATAAAACCAGAAAATAACTGTTACAGGGATTGTTGTTGTTGTTGTTACTAGCTCAGCTCACTGAGCCCAATTCTGAATCAATTTGAAGGGAGTTGCTTATCCCTAGTGGACACAACAGCTCTGAGTTTATAAGCAATCTACCCTTATCCTGTTTTTAAGTGGCAGCATTCTAGGTTCTCTTTTAAATGTGTTTTCCCATCCTAATGAAATTGTTGCTACTTTGCAGCCTCAGCCATCACCGCAGCCAACACTAATAGAATAATGGGTCTGCCTGGAAGCATCCTATGTTCTGCTGCCAAAGAGTTTTCACCTTCTGCCTCCCGCAAGCCCTGCATCATTCTTAGGGCTCTTCTAAGACATTTTGCAACCCAAGGCAAAGAACAAGATGATACCGCCCTCCTCTCCTATGTAATAAAAGCTGACCAGATTGACAGCTGGATGTGACTTCAACAATGGCAAAGGGTGGCCACCCCACCACCCCTACATGTGAAGACAGCAGGTTAGCATAAGTGGTGAAGGGCAGCTCAATTAATCAACACATCTCTCTTACCTTTCTAGTCCCCAAAACTCACCACTGTTCCCCACATTCTCACATCTGCCAGCACCTGAGGACAATGTTTCATTCTGCCTAATGGTAGAACCACCCCCGAGTATGATACAGTGGTACCTCAGGTTACAGATGTTTCAGGTTACAGACACTTCAGGTTACAGACTCCTCTAACCCAGAAATAGTACCTCAGGTTAAGAACTTTGCTTCAGGATAAGAACAGAAATCGCTCGGTGGCAGCAGCGCAAGGCGCCATTACCTAAAGTGGTGCTTCAGGTTAAGAACAGTTTCAGGTTAAGAACGGATCTCCAGAACAAATTAAGTTCTTAACCCGGTACCACTGCATTGTGTTTGCGTGAGGGGGGAGATAGTAATAACTTCCCCCCCAAGTTGTTTCTCCATGGATCTCAAGCATCTATGAAGCTAATGCATGCCTTCTGATGTTGATGTTTTTACCAAATCATCTGAATCATTTCACTAGCATGATGCGAGGTGTATCATTGTTGGGTTGAAATGACTGGGGGTGCATTTTTGATTTACTTTACCTCATTTAGAAAAGTATTTATATACTGTCAATTTGTACAATATGCAAGGTGGCATATAGCAATCTATATGATAACGTATAGAAACAATACAAAATGATAGTGAACGTGAACATGACCGGGAAGCCCAAAAGCATGAGGTCAAGGGTACTTTTCCCACTTCTGATTCAGGGCAACTGGCATGCAAATGCATTCTATCTCCAGAAGAACTTGCAGTTGAGAAGGTTCTCCTAGTGTAGGAATGTGGATCCTGTCCCAGATGTGAAGCGCCTTCCTAGATTAGGTCAGTGACCCATTTATTCAGGTATCCTCTTCTCACGGTGGCCTCCTATATGCCTGTGGGAGACCTGAAGCAAGACCTGAGCACAAGAGCACTTTCCCTTCTTGTGGTTTCCAACAACTGTTATTCAGAATACTGCCTCTAACCCTGAAGGTAGATCATGACCTCATCTCTTAACGTTCCTGACCATTTGTTATGCTGGCTGGGGCTGATGGGAGCTGGAGTCCCACAACCTCAGAACACAAGAATCTTATCCCTGTCCTACCCCATCATCCAAAGCAGTAAATAGGGCCTCAATAGGGCAACAATGACCCAGTGGCCATTTCCTCATTCTTTGCAGAATCTTCTGAGGATTCTCAGGGTTACTTCTTCTCCTTGTGTCTTGCCAAGACTAGTGTCTTTCTAGTGGAATGGAACCCAGTGCAATCACTGTTAGAATTCCTGCTCCATGACTGCAGTCATGGGATTTTTGTCTATCACATGACGGTGTATGTTTTGACTCCACAGAGTGGGAAGTGACAGAGACAGGATGTTTTTGTTACTGTGTTCCGTGAAGTGGGACTATTGTCCTTTGTTGTTGTTTTCTCTTAGTGTCTGATGCTAGAGACAGAGGGAACCATGTCGCAGTGCTCCGTGTGTGTTTATATGTAAATATGTAAATTAGCCAAAATGCTGTTGCTGAGGTCTGTTACACAAGCTGCAAAGACTCTGCGGATCCCTGTGTGCCAGTGTTTGTTGGCATCGGTCACTGTGATGTTTGGGCTGAAGAAAGCTAATGAAGCTCCCAAATGATTGACCAGGAGGGAGAGAACATGCCAGTTGGGCATGTGACTCTGCCAGGGTCCTACTCGAGTGTAGGATGACAATCACTTGATACATTCTTAGTTTATCCATGCTTATCCATGGTTTATCAGTCTTTCCCCCATTATAGCCCATATTCACCTTCTCCTTCCCCCTCTTGGTCCTGTTCTGGTTAAACTGGTGCATGAATTCCTCCATTCAGTGTTATTGGGCTTCAATTAGTCTTGACCAATAAGTTGTTCTAGTGGTGGTGAGAGCTCAGTTGCACTTAGGTCCTCCTTGAAGGCTTCCCATTGGGGCATTTGGGTGGCCACTGTGAGAAAAGGCTGATGGACCAGATGGACAGCAGGGTTTTTCGTTTCTTATTTTATAATAGTTTCAGTGGGTCTACTCTGAGTATGATACTCTGAGGACTTCATAATGACTAACTTTCACCAAATAGAGTCTTTGCGTTTTTGTCCCCTTTAAGTTAACAATAATTAATCCTTTCATTTTCCAGGATGGGTGATATACATACAATAACATAAATGCTGCTGGATCAGGCCAACAGCCCATCTAGTCCAGCATCCTTTTCTCACAGTGGCCACCCAGATGCCTGTGGGAAACCTATAAGCAGGATCCGAGCACAAGAGCACTTTCTCCTCCTGTGGTTTCCAGCAACTGATATTTAGAAACATTATTCCCCACAACTGAATGGATTTATATGGATTTAAATATCCTCAAACATTCCAAAGACATTTGATTTTCATTCTCTCCCCCCCCCCTTAAACAAAATCTAATATTCAGGCAATAAAGCTCTATAAGCATTGCTGTGGTTCTGCTCAATGAAAACTTTCTGGTATGGG